ACAGCAGATGGTCAACAAAGACGTGAACCTGGCTGTATAAATGGAAGAGCTAGCACGTACGTGGTCCGCGATGAATCTGGAGATCGCCCCGTTTTCCATACCACATTCTGAGCCTTGTGTCAGGACCAATGCAGAAGTCGCCATGGCGGGCAGATTTCGCGATACGACCCTCGAAATTATCGAATGCAACTGGCAAGTCCTTGGTGTAATACAGACTGCCGCTTGCCGGAAACTCAAGAGCAAACAGTTTCGACTCCAGCTCCACAAGTTTAGCGACAACAGTAATTCTAGCCCTTTCAGGCAGGTTATACCATATGTCACCCAAGTTCGTACCCTGAATGAACTCCATGAAAATGAATTCGGTGCCAGCAGCGTTCTCCGATGTAGCTGAGTAGCTGTAGACCTTGGGGACAGGTATACCATGTAAACGGAGAAAGTCCATCGTCGCGACTTCGCTGGCTACGACCAGGAGCTTCGGCTCTGTAACCAGGTAAGGAATGCGTCCAACAAACTGGAAGCCGTCACGCATCGTGATCAGAAAGGTTCGATTGAAACCCCCTTCAGCTGGTTTTTCGAAGGAAGTCACGTCTTCTACGTTCTGATTGACAGCTGCAGCCGCGAAGCGCTTGAACTCCGATACATCAAAGACGCGTCTTCGTTCAGAGTGCTTCGAGACGTCATTCCAACTTCATTCCATAGTCAATATGAGCCATGGCTGTGGTGGAAGGGTTTGACAAACATCCATCGCCCTGATGTGTATTCAAATAGCTTAGCGGCTTCGTCCGTTGAGTAGTAAGCCAGAGAGCGAGTCGATATTGAGCAGAAACTCCCGGCTCTTGGGGATTGTACCGTCCGTAGGAAAAGACGACGGGAGCTATCTGTGAATAGGCGACCACGTGTGTTCCGATAAAACGCCATAAGACAATCGCGCAGTGGATTGGCGTAGCGCAAGGCCACGGAATCAGTCGCTGCAGCGGATGTGGAGCGACTCAACCGGAACGCTTGGATTACTTGGCATGCACTAACACCGATAGCGCAAAACTCCCAACGAACGGGATCTGGGAGATGAAAACAGGAGGTTGGAAAGTGAGAACTCTAGGCGCCCGCACGCGAGACGGGACTGAAGGATTTCGTTGTGCTTACGGTCATCTCTACCTTGTTGCTCTTGCGCGAAGTTGCATCGAACAGCTAGTAGAGATCGTCATCGTGCAGTGAAACCCCTTCGGCATTCCTTGGAGTCATTTGGGGGTTGTAAAATATCGTGGGAATGTGATAGCGGGTTTGTGGTTGTCGCAACTTCAGAGCGCCTTCCAAACCACGCTTTGAAGGGTCGGTAAGCAAAAAGCCTTGGCAGGGCGTAACAAGGCTGAGCGCTGGTTCATGCTATTTTCGCCCTGCAGGATGCCACCACCACGAGGGTGCGGCAGGCTTGTGCCGTGATCTTGGTGTGTAGTCTATGCCCAATGCCTTGGGTGTGCAGATCGCTGGTCTTAGGCCGGGCAGTAGCTTCACCTGTGTCAAGCCTAGAAGTCTGCTGGGCATCACGAACTTCATCGAAATATTGCGCGATAACTTCGCTCGAGTCAGGGTGGTGATGGAAAGAAGTATTGCATTACCACGCTGCTTTCATCGACAGCGAGTTGGTATCTAATGCATCCCAAACGCCAGCCATGATTTTTCCCACCTGCAAACACGCAATGCAAGAACGCATAAGACCCCAGCCCGCTTAACGATGGCTGGTCTTTCCGATACCACGCTTTCCTGCGGTCTAGATAACTGTTAGCAATTGTGCTGAAAGGTAGATGGTTCGGAAGCAAACTTACCAAATGCTTGATCAAAGAACCAGTCTGGTGCCTATCGGCCTCACCCTGCCTGGCCATCCTGTTCATCTTCTGCTGCGACAACTTCTGCAGCCTCTCAGCCTTAGAAGCGGCAACCTCATTCGTAACACCATCGTTCCTCCTGTTGGTGCTCTGGCTGCGGCCTCGGCTCTTGGCACGTGCAAGCATAGCAGCACCAGGCGTATCGACGTCCATAGCATCGCCACCAGGAGCCTCTGATCTTCCACGAGCCAAGCTGCGGCCTCGCGCCTCTGCCTTTGCAGTCGTACGCTCGACAGCCGCTGAGGGATCGTAGCCGAGACTCTCCAGATGTGTCTCCATCTTTGACATTTGCATGGCCTTCTTGGTCCTGGGAATGACGGCCCTGTTCTTGAGACTCTTGCGCATCTTGGCCTCGTTGCGGATGAGTTGCCTCTTCTCACGGATGAGCTCTGCCTTGTACCTGATGTCCGCTTCCTCTGCGTCTTCAAGGTCGTCGTCGGAATCGTAGAAGCCCTCACCCTCCAGCTTCTCCTCCTCAGCTTCGAGCGCAGCAAGCTTGGCCTCGATGTCAGGGTCGATGAAGTCGTAGACGTTCTGGCCCTTGAAGACCTCAGGAATGCGGTCGTGTTTCCACTCGTCGTTCTCGAGCATGTAGTTCTTGCGGAGATCGATGTTGTACACACCAGCTCCACCGTCTGCCTCTTCCAAATCACGCTCAAGGAGCGGCCTGTCAGGGTCTTCTTTGTCGTACTTCTTCTTGTTGAGTACCGCCTCTGGGATGGAAGTCTCGCGAGTAACGCCGCCCAACGGCTGGGCAACATGAATACGGCGAAGCAGCTCACCGAGACGGCCAGAAGGCTCGCCGGCGCTGTTGGTACCGGCCTTTAGCTTCTCAGCGTTACGGGCAGCGATCAAGCGATCGCAGACAGAGTTTCGCACGGCCATAACACCCTCAGTTGTGTTGCAAGAGAGCTCGAGCATCTCAACCTCGCCAGACTTGAGCATACCCTGTAGCTGTTCCTGGGTCTCGGGGTCGAGCTGATTCGGGCGCATAAGATCGATCTTGTTGATGACGATGGAGATGAGCTTGTTGGCGAATAGAGGCTTGATGTTGTTGAAAAGAGCGATTTGCGAGGCTACGGAGTAACCGCACTGCTCGCTAAGATCCATGAAGTAGAGAATGTGGGCGCGGAGATGGGCAATGGCGCAGATAGACTGATGCTCGATGGTGTTCATGTCCTCGAGTGCGTGGTCCAAGATACCGGGAGTGTCAACGGCCTGGAACCGGAGCATCTTGTAGTCGAAATGTCCGACATACAGACTCTTGGTGGTGAAAGCGTAGGGCTGTACCTCGACATCGGCCCTTGAGATTGACTTCAAGAATGAAGACTTGCCGACGTTGGGGAAGCCGGAGATGACGAGTGTGCGGGTGTTGGGGTCGATGGACGGAAGACGACCCAAATGCTGCCTAACCTGCTCAAGGTAGACGAGAGGGTCCTTTAACCTCTTGCAAATGGTGGCCATACGACCCAGCGCGGCCCTCTTCAGCTGCTTGCACTGGAAGAGAGACTGTCCGTACTTGAGAAGACGGACATAGTCGCGCGCAACCGTCTCAATCAGCGACTTTGCAGTCGAAAGCTGACCAAGCGCAATTCTGAAGTGATCCGCATCGTATAGGGTGTTGAGCAGATCGCGGTGGAACGGGTGGATGTCGGCGAGGCGCGGGAAAGCCTCGATGGTGGTGGAGAGGCGCTCGGTAAAGGTTTCGGAGGTGTACTTGACTTTTCGCGTGTAGAAGGCTCGAATTCTGCTGATCTTGAATCCAGCACGAATCTGTGTCGGCAATCTGGGTTGCAGTCAGCTTTGTCATCCTCTATGCGATATGCATTGCGCCTGCGAAGTCGCAAAGCGCCGGGTGGTAGAGGGAAGGCGCTTTGCGCAATTGTGTCGAGGAAGGCACCTACCTCCTCTGGGTCCTGGAAAGCACGATGTCCAGAAACTCCTGGCTCGTAGGCACAGCGGGGATATCCTTCCACTGGGTCTTCATTCTGGCGGCTGCGGTATGTTGATGTCGAGTAGAGCCGTCTGCGCGTTGGAGAGACTTCAGGGCAAAAAAGTTCACGACGCTATCGATACCGGTGGGGAAAATAGTTCGCCTCGCCGCCGCGCTAGTCCCGCATCCAATGCTAGCGTCGTTTGTCCGGGCAGTTGCACCCATCCATCACGCGCCTGACAACACCGTAGCCCACATTTCTATCATTACCTAGGTATCTTCTCGAAATCACACAGTACGTTCGAGCCGCAGGACTCGACAATTTTGCCTAGTCAACATAACAGCACTACCCTTATGGTAACTTAGCAGTATGAACATATGTATGCTTCGGCGCAACTAGTATTGACCGCCGGCCTGTTCCCAGGGCAGTAACATATGGAGCGGCTGATGGCGCGAGCGATGCCTTTCGCGTCGGAGTGTCCAGCTTCTCTTTCTTATTCTACCATCTCGATCATGTTTAGATGAATTCATGATGAACACCACGGTGAAAGAGGCTGTCACCCGCTGCCAGTTACCGAGCTGCGCGTGGCTCTCTTCAACTAATTTGACAAACCTCAGTAATGTGCCACCTCTCTTGCCAGATTCAGATCTCTCAGGCATCGGTGTGAGTATCAGGACTCAATGTGTATCACTCCGCCTAACTCCGTACACAACAGGTCATTCTCGGTTTCTCGATTTCAGCATATCTCACATTACTCTTACTCATCATCCACTATATCACCGTCCACAACGTCCATCAAACAAAAAGCACATCAAACACCCCCATAAATGCAGTCGACCATCGGATCCTCACTTTCATACGCTCACGTGTCTTCTCATGGACTCCCAGCCGACGCTTCCAGTACGCCATTGAAAAGTCCGTCCTCATCCTCAGCGACCTGAACCTAGTTACCGGTACCGCGATCCTCATCGCCGGTTACTCGCAACTAAAATGCGGCATCTCGGCGTATCACTGGCAAATGATGGTCTTCATTTCATGGTTTGCCAGTTTTGCTTTCGTGTCTGCCACAGCTTTTCTCGAAGGCTGTTCGCAGACCAACAAAAGTATGAGACTCGTCAGACTGGTCTTTATGGTTCTCCTCGCTTTCTTGCTAATTGCTGCCTTGCTTCCGACAGGGTCGAGGATGTGGCTTAATGGGTATCCCGATGATGGGGAAGGGTTCTACCCTAGTCTGAGCGCTGTTTGCTTCTACAAAGAGCTTGGTATGCGGTCGTTCTTGCGACGAGGTCCCAAGATTTGGTCTATGATCTTCTCTGTGGTTATCGTTGGGGTTTCCTTTGTTCGGTGCGGTATACAGCTACTCGATCGTGGCGGAGACGTGTCCCGCACATGCCTCCGGACGTTACCTGGAACGAAGTTTAAGCGATTCCTTAAATCCTTGGAGGACAAGACATCATCTCATACGATTCAGGCATATATCTGGCACGCACCATACCTGCTCTCGTACGCTGGCTTCATCATCGCCCGAGCCATCTACGATGTCTCTGAGTCAATGCTACTAGAGATCCTCTGGCTGACATTCGCAATGGCATGGGGTACCATCAAAGTCTGGGATACACGCGCCGCAGCCTCATGGAACTATGACGGCTACAACTTCACGCTCAACCAAAAGGTTTCCGAAGAGAACTCCTGGGGTTTCGGTCAGACTTTGCCGTTGATCTTACTACTACTGCCGCTTCTCTCAATGGCCCAGGCGTACCTTGACGACGATGCAAAAGCTCAAGAGATCATCCGAGCTGACGAGGACACATCCTCCCCGCCTGGAACGGCGGCGAATGCAGAGGCGGAGGATCCGAGCGCTGTCGACCCAGACCCATTCGATTCCCAGAACTGCAATCGGCTTATTAACCTTCCAACATACCCCTACGAGAACTTCGCCTCGCACGACTGGTATCACGATCACTTGATCCTTCTGGTGTCCCAGATTATCATGGTCAGCACCGTCGCGCTTTTCTTTCTCACGCGCTTAGCAGACATCTTCGGCATCTCCTCTATTCTACGCAGTAGACTCTTCGTCATCTGGATTCTAGCTATCTTACCGCTGGCGTCGTTCATTCACCTGGCAGCATGGTATTTTGCGGCTTTAGTGGTCGGTAAGTGGCCTGGCGCAGGGAGACGGTTGTCCAGAGAGAACGAAGAGAGGAGAGACCAGACCAGGGAAGGTCAAGTGGTGCACTGGATATGGCGAGCGGGACTCACAGCAGGGTGTTTGCTGTTCACGTTCTTTGTCAGTTTAGAATCGGCCGGACCGAACTCGCTGTTCTCGTATCTGAGATGAACTCATGTAACGTTATATCGTATTCATGTATGAATATTGATGACTCTATCACACGATTCACTCCACCTTGCAGCTTCAGTCCAGAACCTGGTAATGAGCATCCACGGGATTCTTCCCATTAATCGTAAGAACATCCTGAGGACACGCACTCATCACCACAACCACATCCCGAAGCGCCTCCAAAATCACATAGTCTCCAGCTTTCGTCTTCGGCTCTTCAAAACTAATACCTCTCTTCGCCCCCTCACCTTCCTGCGTGATAGGAATGTTCATAAACAAATTGAACGGATCCGGGACCCTGTACCCCATCTTTGCCTGAAGGCCCTCAAGCGCTTCTTTATACTCAGCCGCGAGAGACAAAGACGTGCTCAGCGTGTGTAAAGCATCCCAAAAGTTGTCTGTGCAAGACTCATGGTATCCATTTACACCCAGCTCACTGTACCGCCACCGATCACACGCTGCGACCAAAGTGTCATGCACGCCTGGACTTGTATCTTCCACCAGCTTGACCATCGGCGCTCTCTTCTGACTGACCATTACATCGCCCACTGCAGGCGTCACTTTCAGTAGCGTGGCCCGGCAGTGGCACATGGACATGTATTCGGGCGCGCTGGCAGCAGCGTTCGCAGTAGTAGAGTACTTGGACGGCGAGTCGGAGGTCGCGTTTGGGTAGAGTGCTGCTTCGACTTTTGAGGACGCGGTAGAAAGGCCGGAGGAGGGAAGTGCGAGCGCCCAGGTATCGACAACTTGGTTTCCATGCGTGTTTGTTATCTTTATCTTCTGCCCGGCTTTGACGAGGGTGGCTGCTCCGCGGCGGGCGGGGACGGTTTGGAGGGAGGTCATGGTGGGGAGTTGTGGGATGCTGTAGTCTGTAGTCTATCAGAGTTGATATGTGAGTATGCAATAGACATGAGCTGCTACTTGGAAGCATATGAGGTATGCCATCATATGTATATGCATACCCCACTTGTGCTGTCGCGTCAGGTCGTGGGACGGGAAGATAGGGAGATAGGATGCTGGCGTCCGAAGCCTACGTCATTCGTATGGGGTTGATGAGCACAAGCATAGTGAAATTGCCGTAATTGCTGACGGCAGCTCAGCTCTGTGCCTACAGTGTAGCGATCAAGTTCAGGCGCGCGAAGTGAGCGCGTAGCACCGAGTCGTACCCATGGTTCTGACCTCGGGAGGCGTCTCTTAACCATGGATATAGTCCAGACGAATTTTTTATAAGACACGTAAGTTTGAGCGCAATATGTGGAGTAGATAATGTCTGGTCAAAGGGAAAGTAGAAATTGAAGTTGCGACATCGAGGTACCACCTGCACCTGCAATCGCGCGTATCACGTGTCAAGAACGCGGCTTCCAAAACGACACCCTAGCATTCCCGAGCGCCGCAACCCAAATTATCCCCACCACAGCTCGACTCCTTTACCGCCAACCCGCACCATTCCTACCCACTCCCACCATGGCTGCCCTCGCCACCAAGACCGAGTCGCAGAACATCTTTACCAAATTGAAGTCGAAGCCCGCGAACAAGGTGCGTCTTGCAAGTAGACAGATACTCGGTCAATGCCTAACACATCCCTAGATATGCTTCGACTGCGGCGCAAAGAACCCAACATGGAGTTCCGTACCCTTTGGCATCTACCTGTGCCTCGACTGCTCGTCCAACCATCGTAACATGGGTGTCCATATCTCCTTCGTACGATCCACCAACCTCGACAGTACGTTCACTCCGAGTCTCATGGCTATACAATACACATACTGACTGGGGGTAGTCTGGCAATGGGACCAATTACGGATCATGAAAGTGGGCGGTAACGAAAGCGCCACCAAGTACTTCCAGTCGCACGGAGGCTCTGCTGCGCTTGCGAGTAAAGACCACAAGGCCAAATACACCAGCAATGCCGCCACCAAGTACAAGGAGGAGCTGACCAGGCGCTGCGCCGCGGACGCCAGGATGTAAGAAGCAATTCTCTTACACGGTAAACTGGGCTAATTCGATTCTACCAGGTACCCCAACGAGGTCGTTATCACAGATGTGCCTGAAGTTGGCACCGACGGCACCAACACGCCAGCCAATGACGAAGACGACTTCTTCTCCTCATGGGATAAGCCCGCCATCAAGCGCCCGTCGAACCCACCCTCGCGTACTGGTACACCCAAGATTGGAGGATCACCCTTCCTGAAGCCTGGCGCCAACGGCAATGGAACAGATCGTCCCAAATCGCCACTCGTTGGCGGTGAATCGAGCACACCCGCTGCAAAGCCCGCTGCCGTACGAAAGACGACCGCTGGCGCTGCGCCGAAGAAGAACATTCTGGGAGCCAAGAAGAAGGGTCTCGGAGCAAAGAAGGTGGTTGCCGCAGATGGAGGCCTAGACTTTGAGGAAGCAGAGCGAAAGGCCCGTGAAGAGGCTGAGCGCATCGAGAAGTTGGGCTACGATCCCGAAGCCGAAGCCGCAGAGGCCGCGGCGGCCACCAAGTCGAAAGCCCCCGAAGCATCCGCCATTGTCTCCCCGACTCCCGTATCGCCGCCACGAGGTGGTTTCGGTTCCACCTCGAAGACCAAGCGCTCCAGCCAAGATATGGAAAGGTTAGGCATGGGCGTACAGCGTCTGGGCTTTGGACAAGTGGGTGCTGCGAAGAAGGCTGCACCACAGAAGAAGATGGGTGGCTTCGGCAGTGTAGGCAAGCCTACACAAGATGACGGCGAGAAGTACGCACGCGACAAGTTTGGCACACAAAAGGGTATTTCCAGTGACGAGTTCTTTGGACGCAACGCATTCGATCCTACTGCTACTGCGCAGGCCAAGGAGAGGTTATCAGGTACGTGATATCTATAAAAGCATGCACGTTTCGATTACTAACTTGCTATGTAGGCTTCGAAGGCGCGAGCGCTATTTCCTCTAACGCATACTTTGGCCGACCCGAAGACGAAGTCGGCGACGAGGACTACGGCGACCTCGAAACCGCAGCCAAGGACTTTGTCCGCAAGTTCGGTCTTACCGCTGGCGACGATCTCGAAAACCTGACGAACATGCTCGGCGAGGGTGCGACGAAACTGCAAGGCGCTGTCCGGAACTACCTCAACTCGTAGGATGACTTTGTGGATGACGTTAGGGCCGACTACGATGGGCGTGCGGCTGTGTACTGAACATACTCCTCCGGTGTGTGGAGAGCAGGGCTGGTTATCATATGCAGAGCTTGTCGCAGACGTCGAACAAGAGGTGTGGGCGCTTGGTGCATTGCATGGAGCGGGCAGATGAAAGACCATGAAGCGTGGAGTTGGCCGTACATTTCTATTGCGCTGAAGACGTGGACTTGGGAATGGGTGTTTGGGAGTATAGACAAACGCAACTAAGAGTCCCTTCAATTCAACCTCGTAATCTCATTCCTAGCGTTGTCTAATGTGTGATTCTGAACGCCAGGCATGAATAACTAAACAATGAAGTGGGCAAACATCTCTCCATATCCAACACCAACACCAACCTGTCAATCCAACCCTCTGCATGTACAATCATTCAATCCTCCCTATCCCCCCAAACATCAGCCTCCTCCCTCGCCACAGCATCTAGATCAATCATCCCCTTCCCCCTGCCGCTTCCTCCCTCATCGCCATCGTCTTCCTCACTGCTACTCTCCTGTCCCTTTGCCTCTTCCCTACTCATAGACCCCCATCCCGCATCTTCATCCTCGTCGTCTTGAGGAAAAGCGGGCGACACAGGGACGAAGTCGTCCATGAGGTTACTCGGGAGACCGGCGGGTGCGGGTCGCGGATGCGAAGATGAGGGTGGGGAGGGGGAGAGGGGCATCATTGCCATTTCGGGGTGGTTGGATAGTGGTGGTGTGGAGGCGCGGTTTGGAGGTGTGGTCGCAGCGTGGCGAGAGGTAGAAGGTTCGGCTTCGGGAGGTAGATGTGGATATGGAGAATGAGAGATGTGTGGTTTGTTGCTATCTTTCGAAGTAGGCCGGGCATCTTCTGTCTTCCTCATCTCCTGCCTTGGTGCAGGCGCTGTTTTCACAGCAGCAGAGGTATCGACTTGTTGTGTAGGTGGCAACTTAGCATGATGCTCCTGCTGCTGTTGCTGTGAGAATGGGAAGATGGAGAAGAGGCTTTGACTCAGACTGTGCCTGTTTGGTGCGCCCGGTCTTTGTTCTTGTCGGAGTGCTTCTTCTCTGCTTCTCGGCTTGTTGGGTGGTGGATGCGATGCGGAGTGTGAGTGCGAAGGAGCCCTTCTGTTGGTCATTGGACTGGATGGTTTCTGAATTGCGGTTTCTGGCAAGGAGGCTTCGCACATTTCACAGGATGTGAGGGCGGGGTCGTTGAGGAAGGTGCAGCGTGGGCATTGCTTTTTGAGATCGGGTGTTGAAGGGCGTTGAGATTGGGAGGGTTCCTGGGGTGGTTGTGCTTGTGGTCGGGGAGGCTGTCGTGGAGGTGCTGGTTCGTTCTGGGTAGGCATTTGGTACCCTGGGCTGTATCTCTGTGCGGTCCTGGAATTGGGTGGCGCTGTATCCCGCTGTCGACTGGTAGACGATGTGCCTGCACTCCCTCCAGCATTTGGATTTGGGTCCACTGATATTACGACCTGTACGTCTCGTTTCGTACCACACTTCATACACTCACACTGCCGTACAACGCTCTTCGTATACGTATCTGTGACCTCGGTCGGTGCATCGAACCGGATCTCGAACTTCCCTGGCTCACCGAAGCCTGGGGTATTCCTGTCGTTCCCTCTCCCTTTGGCATTTGCATAGCCTGCTCCTTTCGCCACGATTGGTATAATAGGGTCTACGGCTCCGAATATCAGATGGTCCACAAAGGGAATCAACATCAACCTCCCACTATTCTTGATGTGATGATCGATTTCCGGGCGGAGTTGAAACGAGTCGATAGATTGTAGGACGCGGAAGTACTTGTTGAACATGTCGCCGTACCACTGGCGAGCTTGAACACCCTGCTGCAACAGATCTTTCGCGATGTTCCGTGGTGCCGGACTCG